TTATCAGGGTCTTCAGATTTTCTATTTCTTCATGATTCAGTCTTGGAAGACTGTATGTTTCTAAAAATTTATCCATTTCTTCTACATTGCCCAATTTGTTGGCATATAATTGTGCTTAGTAACTCTTATGATTCTTTGTATTTCTGTGACATCAGTTGTAACATGTCTTCTTTCATTTCTGCTTTTATTTATAAGAAGACCTCTTATTTTGTTGCTGAATCTAGCTAAAGTTTTGTCAGTTTTGTTTACCTTTTCCAAGATAATTTCATTGATCTTCTCTTTTGTCTTATTAGTCTATATTTCATTTATTTATGCTCTACTCTTTATTGTTTCCTTATTTCTACTAACTTTGGCCTTTGTTTATTCTTTTTCTAGTACTTTAGATGTTAAGTTAGGTAGTCTATTTGAGATCTGTCTTGTTCTTGAGGTAGGCCTGTATTGCTATGAACTACCCTCTACTAGCAGCTTTTGCTGCATCTCATAGATGTTGGATTGTTACTGTTGTATTTCCATTTTTATTTGTCTCAAGGTATTTTTTGAGTTATCCCTTTGACATCTTTATTGACCCATTAGTACAGTAATATGTTGTTTAATCTCCACAAACTTGTGATTTTTCCAGTTTTCTTTTTGTAATCGATTTCTCGTTTTCATACCATTGTGGTCAGAGAAGATGCTTGATATTATTTCAGACTTGTTAAATTTATTGAGATTTTTTTGTGGTCTAACATGTGATCTATCCTGGAGAATGTTCCATATGTACTTGAGAAGAATGTGTGTATTCTGCTTTTGGATGGGATGCTCTGTATAAATCTATCAAATCCATCTTGTCTGTTGTGTCATTTAAGGCTGATGCTTCCTTGTTGATTTTTCTCTGTGGATAATGTATTTATTGTTATAAGTGGAGGTATTAAAGTTCTCTACCATTATTGTATTGCTGTTAATTTCTCCTTTTGGTCTGGTAATATTTGATCTGGTAGTATTTAGGTATTTAGGTGCTTCTGTTGGTACATAAATATTTACAACTTTTCTATCATCTTTTTGGATTGACACTTGAATCATTGTATGATGTTCATTGTCTTTTGTTATAGTCTTTGTTTTAACGTCTGTTTTGTCAGATACAAGTATAGCAGTACCACTTTTCTTTTTGTTTCCATTTGTATGGAATATCTTTTCTATCTCTTTACTTTCAGTCTTTATATCCTAAGATATAAAGTTAGTCTCTTTTAGGCAACATATAGATGAATCTTGTGTTTTTTTATTTAAGATTTTATTTATTTATTCATGAGAGAGAGAGAGAGAGAGGCAGAGACACAGGCAGAGAGAGAAGCAGGCTCCATGCAGGGAGCCCAACGTGGGACTCGATCCCGGGTCCCCAGGATCATGCCCTGCACTGACGGTGATGCTAAACTGCTGAGCCACCAGGGCTGCCCTATATTTTTTTAATCCATTCAGTCATACTGGGTCTTTTGATTATACAATGTGGTCCATTTACATTTAAAGTAATTATTGATAGGTATATAACTTATTGTCATTTTGTTAAGTTTCCTATCTTTTTGTAGTTTCTCTCTTACTTTTTTCTTTTCTTGCTGTCTTCCCATCTGGTTTAATGACTTTTTTTAGTGTTATGTTTATTTCTTTCTTACTATCTTTTGTGTACCTATTGTAGGTTTTGGTTTTGGGTTGCCATGAGATTCATATATACATAATGGTCTATATATAGCAGTCTGTTTTAAGTTGATAGCAACTTTGAGTGTATTCTAAAAGCTACATTCCCTCCCCCACATTTTATGTTTTTAATATTATATTGTAGATCTTTTAATTTTGTATATCCCTTAACTGACTAATGTAATTGCAGTTAATTTTTCTACTTTTGCTCTTTAACCTTTAAACTGATCTTCTAAGTGGTTAATTCACTACCTTTACTATATATTTGCCTTAACCCATTAGATTTTTACTTCCATATGTTTTCTAGTTATTAGATAGTACCTTTTCTTTATACTCTAAAGAAATCCCTTTAAAATTTCTTGTAAGGCCAGCTTAGTGGTGGTAAACTCCTTTAGTTTTTCTTGTCTGGAAGACTCATTATCTTTCCTTCAGTTCTGTGATAATTTTGCTAGGTAGATTATTCTTGGTTGGAAGGTTTTTTTTCCCTCTTTCAGCACTTTGCGTATATTATAATACTCTCTATTGGCCTGCAAAGTTTCTGCTAAAAATCAGCTGATAGTTCCCTTGTATGTAACTAGTTGTTTTTTTTTCCTTGATGCTTTTAATGTTCTTTATCTTTACCTTTTGATATTTTAATTATTATATGTCTTGGCACAGATCTGTTTGGGTTCATCTTATTTGGAACTCTCTTTGATTTCTGAACGTCAAAGTCTATTTCTTCAGGTTATGGAAGTTTTCAGCCATTATTTCTTCAATAAGTTTTGTCTCTTCTACTTCTAAGACCTCAGTAATGGCAATATTACCCTACATGTTGTCTCCTAAGTCATTTTCGCTCCTTAATATTTATCTATCTATCTATCTATCTATCTATCTATCTATTTATTTATTCATTTATTTGCTGCTCTTTTTTGGTGAGTTTGAATGCTTTGTCTTCCAGCCCACTGATTTCCTTGTTCTACGTCTAGTCTGCTATTGAACCCTTGTAGCGTATTTTTCAATTCAGATATTGTATTCTTCAGTTCTGTGACTTTTCTTTGGTACTTTCTTAATATTTTCTGCCTCATTGTTGAAGTTTCATTGTGCTCATCCATTCTTCTCTTGAGTTCAGTGAACATCTTTATGAATACTACTTTGGACTCTTTATCAGGTAAATTATTTAACTCTGTTAATATGTTTTTCTGATGTTTTTTTCTTGTTCTTTCATTTGGAACCTATATCTCTGTTTCCTTATTTTGCCTTACTCTATGTTTGTTTCTGTGTATTTGATGAAACAGCTACCTCTTCAGTCTTGAAAGAGTGGCCTCTGTAGGAGATGAACCTTGTTGTTCAACTTTGCCCTAGCTCTTGTTTGTCTTTTGAACTTTTGTTCATCTTTTGAACTTTGCCATAGCTCTTGCTCATCTTTTGAACTTTTGTGACTAAGTAGACTGATTTATTTTTGATAAGTCTCCATTGTTGAAAGTGTGCCAAGACCTGTCAGTGTTTCACATGGAGTGATTTAAGTCAAGATCTAGTTTCAAATAATTGAAAACCAGGTCCTCAGCTTTTAAATATGCAAATTATACATTTCTGTGGGACCACAGATGTAAAGTCTGCTGCCAGACTAGATGATCTGGAGGTATCTCCTGGGAAACAGTTACAAAAAGCAGGGTTTTGACAAGTGTATAATCTTCTTTCTGGGAGGTACAAGTGAGTTATGACCAGGCCAAAGGAGAGCTCATACAGGTTATCTTTCTGCCTGTGGTCCTTGAGAGCACCTCTGTCATCTCTAGGTATGTGACTAACATGAAGCCTGTCCCTCAGGTTGAAGCTCCAGGACAAGTAGATGGGCCTTTTTCACAGGCAGACTTAGGATAAATTTTAGTCTGCTCCCTGTGTGTTGCTGTGGATAGCCTGTGCAGAACCATCTTTCTCATTTTTATATTCCTATAGGGCCCAGAAACAGAAGCCCATCTGGCCATCAGGTTCAGGTGATCAAGGGGTGTCCCTTTTGTGGACTGTGCTTGGTGGCCAGCTTTAGTGGGGCTGTAGGAGAATGCCAAAGGTGAGATGTTCATGTTTTTAGTGATACAGAGGAAGAGTGCTGGATGCAAAGCTTTAGCAAGATGTGGGAGGAGCACTGGGGTGGGATATGCCCACAGCTTTGGCAATGCAGGAAGAGTGTTGGAGATAGCCAGTAAAGAGCCCTGAGGGTGGGGCTTGCCCATTACTTTACCCAAGTTGGTGAAAGTATTGGGGGCCAGACACCTGCTCTTGCCACCAGTACTAGCAAGGTAGAGAGATGAGGAGTGGGAAAATAGTGTTCACTATTTCCAAAGAAAGTCCTAACTTGTCCTAAATTGTCCCTGCCCCCTTTAGTAAACACTTTTCCGTTAGCAGATGAGTCTTCACATATAATCCAGTCATTTCTCAAACTGCTGCCTTTGTGCTGGTTCCTGGGAGGAGTGAGTCATTGTGCAAGGTCCTCAAAAGGGGTATCTCAAATCCCTCTAGTCACCCAGTCCTCCTGGGTCTATGGCCCATTGGTTTTCAAAGCCAGATGTTTTGGGGCCTTGTCTTTCCAGTGCAGGTCCTACAGGGTTGGGGTGTCAGCTAGTATATACCCCTCACTTCTCAGGGAGAGGCTTCAGTATTGTGAGATCCTTCCCTGTTGTAGGTCACGCTGGGGTCTGAGGTGAGATCGGGTCACTGCTTCTGCTACCCACCTTGATGTGGCCCTTTTATCCCTTGTTATGAAGGGAGCTATGCATCTAGAATTCAACAGGAATTATTCCATATGTAACTGTAGTTTTAGTATGTCTGAGGAAGGAGGTGAGGTTAGGGTCTTCTTATGCAGCCATTTGGACTGCCTCATAATTTATATATTTTTATATGTCTTATTGAAATACTGAATATAAAATATATCAAGACCATGTAATTTATTTTTATAAATATTTGTCACTTGTTAACCAAGTAGCCGTTAAGAAAGGTTTTTATCTACAACTGTAGGTGACTTTGTACATAACCTTGAATGATTTGAGAAACACTTATGTAATAAAATCTGTAATTGAATAAACTAATCAAAATTTATTGGCTATATTATTCTCTTTAAACATTTATTGTATATAGTTTTAAAAATTTATATATATTTGTAATTAGCAGTAGAGAGATGACTAGAGCTGATGTGAACTGGATGTAGTTATGGACAAATGTGCAACTCTTCCATTTTATTTCACTTCATAAATGCAGAGAGGTATAGAGTAGTGAGTCTCTAAGCAATAAAACTCAGATGGACTTTCAAATCCCCTTTCTTTTTCACTCTGTTTTACTGATTATTTCCATTTTCATTGTTGCAGTGGGGTCAGATGAACTGGATAGCTACATGTATCAGACAGTGGGTCATCATGCCATTGATTTGTATGCAGAAGCGATGGCTCTTCCCCTCTATCGCCACACCATAAGAGGAAGGAGTGTGGATACAGGAAGAGTGTACACAGAATGTGAAGGTGATGAGGTTGAAGATCTCTATGAGCTTTTGAAACTTGTTAAGGTATGCCTGGTAACCAATTACATTAAAACTGAATTATTAGAAATAATTAATTAACTACCGTTAGTAGCCTGACTATTCTTTGAAAAGATATTTTGTCTTTTTGGATAGAAAAGAAAACTTACTATGCCTTTGTATTAAGTACAATTTAAAAATAAAACTTTTGGTATAGTTTGGCATTCAGTATTGTCAAATGATATTTAATTAAGTTTTTCTTAGGATTTTGAAGCTGATGACCTTTTAATCATTTACTTAATTTGTTTATTTATTAGCAAATAGTTATTGAATGCCTACTATGTGCTTGGTATATATAGTTCTAGGCACTGGAGATAGGGCAATGAACACATCAGACAAAGCTTTGTTCTGCTGGAACTTATTTTCCAGTGGAAGTAGACAGAAAATAGACAAGCAAATCATATGCTTGGTAGTGAAGAATACTATGGAAGAAGAATGAAATAGTCAAGATGATAAGGAGTAATGACAAGGGATGGTCATACAAGACCTTTCTTATATGGTGAAATTTAAATAGACCTAATGAAAGTAAGAGACTGAGCTTTGCTTAAATCTAGTAAGAGAGGTCTAAATTAAATACTTAAGTCCCTGTACATAAGAGTTTAAGAGCCCTTGTTTATTCATTGTTAATTTTTCTAAAGAGAAAATATAGGAGAGAAAGTCAAGGACTCATATATCTAATAAATACTATATTCAGTACATGTTAATTTATGGAGACTCTTTTATTCTAAGCCATTATCTTTTCATTCTCATTGATATGATAGTTAACTATTTGAATATATTCTGTATTCTTCTTAATATTAATTCTTTTCATTCAGGTATAGTCAACTCATACAAGGCATATCTAATAAAATAGAGAATTTAATCTGATATTTCCTGCTTGTCTTAGCATATTCTCACAAACGAGAGGAAGATTTCTGTCCCTTCTATCAAAGGACATTGAATTTCATTTTCTCATTCTACAGAGAAGTTCAGCTTTTCCAAAATTATGTTATGAACTATTGTCATGAAAATTTGCTGGTCTCAAATGGCTACTCTGGTGTTAAACTTTAAATGTGATGCTGATCACAGCTTAACCAATTAAGGATTTTGATTAATAAAAACATATGAAGCACTTCAATTTTAAAGTTTGCTTGATTAAAACATTTCTCATTTTGTATTTCAGAACATTTTCATTTTTTATTTACCCTTTAAAAAAGAAACTGGTAGAGAAAACTTTTGGAATAATGCCATAAATTACTGTTTAGTTATGGATAGCATAAGAAGTAGATATTTTTCAAAGGATATTACAGAGACATCATTTCTTTGCTATGGGAAGATACATACTAATAACTATTTTGATTATCAAATAAGGGGGAAAGGCATAAAAGTTTCACTTTAAATGGTCTTCTCTCTACAAATAAGATCTTGACATTGTTGACTTTAAGGTGTGAAATACTGAGTGCAAAGTCTGCATTTTTAAAATTTCTTTTTCAGGGTTCAAAGAAATTGGGTAATAAATTTTTAGCATAAACTGATGCTAATAAATTTTAGCATAAAATGGTGGGACTCACATGAGAAATAATTGGATTGTTTAAAAATCACTGATAACTGATAACTTTGGAAAAGCTATGTGATAATAACAGCCTTCCAAGAAAGGGAAAGATAATAAATTACTAATCAATTTAATTAAAAATGGACAGATTAGTAGTAATTAAGAAGAAATTTCCCTTTCAATCCATGCTGTCTTTGGAGAAATGGATGCTTTGCCATTATCTTTATAGTAACCATCAGTTATGACATAAATTAATGCTAATGTTAAATCTTGACAACTGCTTTGGAAGTTCGTACATGATAATTATAACTATAGTTGAAAGAGATGTTATCAAGTTGTCGGGACTAAATAGTTCCTTTTTCTGTACAGAAATATTAATTTTACTATAGAGTATTTTAAGGACATAAATATTGGAAATATATTGCTTTTATGGAAGAGATTGTATAACCAGGGTTTTATAGTTAAGACCATTTATGAAACACTGGTGTAAAGATTCCAATAGAGGTTTTACATATTCTAACGAACAATTGAGTAATTATGGAAAAAAAATGAATCTAGAAGAGCTATAATTCTTCAAGTTAGTGCTCACTCGTTCTAAGAAAAAGATGGAATTGAATTTTTTAGTCCTTTGAATATTAATGAGCAATGGAAACATTTAGATTCATTTTCATTACAAACATTGATTTATAACAGGTTGCGATTTTGTGACTTTTATATGTAAGTCAGTCTTTTGTTTTTGTATCTCTTTTCTCCAGAATATTACTGCTAATTTTTGAGTAGGAGATGTTTCTTTTTGCCAAATTGACTAATAGCTGAAAAGAAGTAGCAATGATGTGGAAGTATTTATAAAATTTTATTTATTTTATTCATGAGAGACACAGAAAGAGAGAGAGGCAGAGACACAGGCAGAGGGAGAAGCAGGCTACACACAGGGAGCCCAATGCGGGACTCAATCCCGGGACTCCAGGATCACGTCTTGGGCTGAAGGCAGGCGTCAAACCGATGAGCCACCTATCCTGTGGAAGAATTTATAGAGTTAAGTTTCCTAATTATTTTGTAGAAAGTTTGAAAACTAGCAGAAATATAAGAAGCCTTTGTCTCATAGATTACCAGCTGATTATGACAGGTAGATAGATATGTATATCTCAAGGTTACAAGATAACCTGGTTTTCATATAGCTAGCCTTTTTTTTTTTATTCTTTAGAATTTATTTAATGTTAAAATGTCTCCATGATTTTCATGTAGATTAATTTGACATATAGATAACTTGGATTATTTCCTGGAAATACAGTAGTTTCCTAATTCTGTGTGTTTTCTTTTTTAGTCATGTAAGAAATGTAATAGTTCCTGAAGGATACATGTAAACACCATCATATCTCTGTAGAGAATATATTTAAGGATGAACATATTCATTCTTTTTCCAGTGGCTTGGAGTCACTTCTTACTGTTTCTGATATCTCCTTCTTTCTTGGTTATTCCCTCTTTTCAGTAGAGTCCATCTTTAAGAAAATGCCATAATGATAGTACTTTCAAATTCTTACATTTTGGAAATGTTCCTTTGTGCAATCCTCCTCACATTTGATGGATACATTGGTTGAACTTAAAATTTTAGATCAAAAATAATTTTTCCTCAAACCATTGAAGATACTGCTTCAAGGTCTACCAGCATTTTGCTGATGAGAAATTTGATGCTGATGTGATTTTTGTTTTTTTTTTTTAGCTGAGTCGTTTTTCCTCTCTGTTAACTTTTATGATTGTGTCTTTATGGTTGATGTACTGAAATGGCACAACAATGCTTTGGATATTGAAGGTTGCTTCTCCTGTATATCTTCTGAAGCTTTCTGTTGAGTTGGCAGCAGGTCCCTGTCCTCTTTTCCATTATGACGGTTCAGTGATGGTATTAATCCAGGTGAAAGCCATTCACAGCGTGGCATTCTCATGACTATAGTGATAGGATCAGGGATGGTTTTGTTAACCTATGTGTACCAAATAGAATGAAGCCTAGGATGAAGGATGGTTGGCACAAGATAAACACTTTCTCCAGTATTGAAGGATGTGTGGATGTAAGACCTAGAACTGCGATGGCTTTTTGTTTTTGGGTGGAAGAAAACTTGATGTCACATCTGACACAAAAAAATAGGGCCAATCGAATTGCAGTTTGAGGATGGTTCTGTGAAATCCTCTTCCTTTATTTGATAATTTGCTCCTCTGATTCTCTATGCCCTTTTTCTGGTATTCTCACACATCAGATGTGAGACCTAGATTGAATCTTCATGTCTCTCTTCTCACATTATTATCTAACCTTATGTTGTTTGTTGTATATTATGTGACATTTCTTTTTTTTTTTTAAAGATTTTATTTATTTATTTATTTATTTATTTATTTATTTATTTATTTATTTGACAGAGAAAGTGAGAGTGAGTGAGTATACAGAGGCGGAGTGACATAGGAAGAAGGAGAAGCAGGCTCCCTGCTGATCAGGGAGTGTGACATGGGACTCTGTCCTAGGACCCTGGGATTATGACCTGAGTTGAAAGCAGGCACTTAACTCACTGAGCCACACAGGCACCCCTGTGACATTTCCTTTCAAATGCCCTACTTTCTTAGCAATCATACTTGTGGTATTCAGTAACTTGACTTGTTTTTTGATTGTTTCTTTTTTATAAAAGCTTATTTCTCTTTCTATAGATGTAATCTCTTTACATCCTTCTTAAAATACAAATTAGAGGTTTTAAACATTATCTTTTGTTTCCTAAAATATTGATGTTTTCTTTAGGGTCTTTTTTCTCTCGTTTTTTTCTTTCATGTAGTTTTTTCTCAACTCTCTCAGTTGCTTATTCATATCTAAGAATAAGGCAAGAGCAAAACTGAACATTTTTGACTTTAAAGTTTTTTGGCCCCATACCTCACACTTGTTATACCTGGAACTCAGGATAATGTAGCCTTGTCTTCTTGGCTTTCTTCTCATCCATGCAGATAGTAGGTTACAGCTTCTTATGCTGATCTATCAGTCATTGTTCCTTCTTCATCTTCATTGCTGAATCAAGAAATTTATTGAAATCCTTTTGCCATTGATGTCTGCCCCTGCCTGCCCCACATTCTCTTTGTTTTCTAGAGGTCATACCTTGTTTTCATTATAATGGACTCTCTTCATCCAGAAATCTGTGTTCATTTTTTTCTAATAGAATTCATTTAATATTCTTCCCAAAGTTGAATATTCAGTTTAAGTTTTCTCTTTCTAATCCTTGCTACTTTTCTTCTCTCATATTCTTTATTTCATTAGGCATTTTTATCTTGGTGCCAATGACCTTAAATTCCCTAATTGACATTTGTATTGTAATTTGAATACAACAATAAATGAATAATTGTCTTTTTTAAAAAACAATGTTTACTGTTGATAGAAAGGTTTATAAATAAGCGACTGAATTTTTTTAAACTAAATTTTAACTTAATATTT